CTCTCTCTCTCTCTCTCTCTCACACACACACACACACACACACACACACACACACACACACACGCACACACATGCAAAGGGGGTCCGAAATCCCCCAACAGGTGAGTGCGCTGGGGGGGGCTGGCCCCCAACCGGGTGCCCTGCCCAGCCAGGCCGCCCGGGACCTCCCCCAGGCCCCTGCCGGTCACCCGGGCGGCCGGGATCCCCACTCAGTATATTTCTCTTTTTTTGGATAAATAGGATAGTATAACGAGACCAGTTTCTGCATACCTATGTAAGGTAGGGGTTTATTCCCCCCTACAGCTCCTCTGCAGACGGGATTCACGATTCGATGGGTATGATGGCTACGACTCTTTTCCTGGATAAATTCAATTGACACAAATTCACACAATTTGACAGTATACACTGTACAGCGCATACCTTCTTTCTCAATTTTCCAAAAACAAATGTTTCTTTTCTCTCTGAAGTTTGGCTTATCTCTGGTCGATGGGGTTCAGTAAGTAAACCACGACTACTCCCTGAAAAATGCAGTCAAAGTCAAGTCCTACAGATAAAAGAAAAAGAATAAGAAAAAAAGACCCTGTAGTGATCGGATCATCAATCTAATGGACCAACCAAAAAAGGGTGTCCCTTTTTTTTTTTTTTTTTAACGAARAAAATCGAAAACGTTAATGGCGGGTTGGAGAGCTGGCACTACGCTGGCTTACCAGTTGAAGAAGTGATGCCTTGAATTTGGCCATTTTCTATGCTTGGGGGTTGAATGGTCTTCCTTCAGTCTTGTAACTGTCCTGGGGGAAAAAAAAATAAAAGAAAAAAAAGAAAAAAGAAAAAAGGTGTTGAGGTGAAAGTTTCATGAAACCTAACTTGGATGGAGGGAAACAAAAAGGAATAAGGGGCCTGGTTGCAGCACTCGGCATCGGCCAACATTTTGAAATTTGAATGCATTTGGGCATGAATTTGCGCACATGCATTCAAAATCTTGGCGGATGGCGAGTGGTGCAACCAGCCCCTAAGAGTACGTAATGTCATATTTGCAACAGCACCGTGCGCCGTACAAGTGGCAGTTGCCCTTTTTTTTTTTTTTTTTTTTTGCTGTTTTTGTAGAGACAGACGAGTGCAACACCTAAGGAACCGATCTTTTTGAAGTACAGTCATACATATTTTTCTTTCCGCCCAATTGGGCATGAGAAATAGCCTTAAAAAAAAAAGGTGTCTGGGACATCAATCTTGACCTTTAGGTAGCGGCATTGCCCTCCCAGAAGTTTTTTTTTCTTTTTTCTTTTTTTTCCCCCCCATCCCACAGCAAATCTTTATAGAGGACCGTTGACCCAGCCTTGCGACCCTTTTTTCTCGTGAATATCTCCCCCGTGCGCCGCACTGCGCGGGATTTTCCGCACAGCCTCCGCTTGCATGTATGGTACGTATTGATGTCGTATTCATAATTTCATATGCATCTTCATCTTCTTCCTTTCTCTTTTTTTTTTTGGTCCCGAGTCCTGACATAATTGTGGTCATGATTGACCTTGCTGTTTGTCTTTTTTTTTCTTTAATCTCTATTTCGAAAGTGCAGTGGATGAGCATCACCTCCGTCTCAGCAATGGCCTTACAGGGTGTTGCCGACATCAACATGGTTTCAGCTGTGAGGCTGCTTCAGGTATGTATGAAATGACCCAAGTTCTCACCAACGCTCAACCTCGCAAGTATGCAGAGAACATTCACACAAGAGTCCACACATAAGAAACCGATCCAAGATACAATCAATGCATGAAGAACTGTCACCAAGTTATTATTATTATTATACAAGGAAATCTTTTATGTCATCACCAGGCTCCACCGCTCACACACACAGCATCTCAACCTCGGCTATCGCTGTACTCTCTCTCTCTCTCTCTCTCTCTCTCTCTCTCTCTCTCTCTCTCTCTCTCTCTCTCTCTCTCTCTCTCTCTCTCTCTCTCTCTCTCTC